GAGGGAGTCCTCATTACCGCCATCAACAATCATGGAGAACCTCTTGAAGAAAAATTAGATCATGTCTGAATGTGATCTGAAATGAGAACGCTTCACATGAAGAACCTCCGTGCTTATTCTGATCTCCTTAGAGTCAAATGAAAGAGGTACTATTCTAATGCGGCAGGAAAGCCTTGCGTTCACTCACACACAGCACCAAATGCCCAGGGCTGAACGCATTAAGTAAAACCACAGCACCAGCGTGGTATTGATCCTTCACACAGGCTGGTGCTCTTAAGGGAATTGATAAGAATCATTTTGAAAGAGAAGTAAACCTTGATGATTGTAATCGGGAGATATTATCATTGATTTTTCCGGCCTTTATTCCATTGTGTGCCAAATAAAGAAGCATTTCATTGCATGGTGGCTCTCCTCTTCCCCAATCCCACTCCGAGTTAATTCACATCCTCTCATTAAATAGTCCATACTGCTGTGGCCTTTTCACTGGAGGCACTATTGATATGCACCCTGCCCTGCGAGTCTACGCACCCAGATTATCCAATAACAGGTTACTTTTCTGCAGTGCTGCATTTCCAGAATTTAATTAAAACTATAAATTAATAAGTCTAATAGGACCTGCATAAATCCTATTGCACAGCCAAGGTCTCCTTTAATTCTTTCCTGATCTCTTTAATATAAGATTACACAGTGACTAAGAGGGCCTGCATCCTGACGTGTTTTGAATTAGGCTGCATGTACCTATCAAAGCGGGATGTTTATGTCTGATGCTGTGTCATGGCCAGGAAACTAGTCAACTGATGAGGTTTAAAATGGCACTATTGTACTAGGTACTCAATGAACAATGTCAGCTGGGCAAATCATAGCAATGCACAAGCACTTCTGAAGATCATCGTATTTGCATCGATCACATCTTCAGGCACAAACAAAAAATTACTCAACTCATTAACAAAACTCCCCGGACATTTAACAATCTCATATAAAATGGAGAAAGAATAAATTGAACAGATCCACTGGTAATCTAATTCTTATTAAAACGATTATCTATATAAAGCATTTTTAATTTTGATTGCTGCAACACACAAAAGTTGGGAGGAATAATAAAAGTGAAATGGTTATAGAATAACAGAGTTAAACACATTTGAAACAGTTCACCAACTTCCATACATATGTTATTCCAAACATAACATTCAGTTGAATGTGTGTGACCTTTGAGCCCTCATTCCATGAGAAACCATCATGCTGCGGTCAAATATAGCCACATGTAGATGTGCCAACAGATCTGTCTCCTATTGAAAATGTATGGCCGGTCATGAAAAGGAGAATCAGACAAACAGACTGATGAGCAGCTGAAGTCTTGTATCAAGCAAGAAAGACTGGGCAAAAATTTTCATGCAAAACTTGCAAAAATTAGCATGGTTAATTAAAAGGAACGGTGATTTGACACAGTGGTAAACATGCCTCTGTCCCAAGTGTGTTGTAGCCATCAAAATCTGTTTACAAAATCAACTTTTCACAAAACATCCCAAATTGTCTGAAATTGAAAATTAGAAATGATCATTATTAATGATATCATTATAATTTTTATTATTGAGGCTAAGACAGAAAATTTTACTTAATTTAATATGTATTATATATTATATATATAATATAGTATTATATTATACTACTATAGTAATATAGCATAATATACATAGTAAGGTGATAATTATAAATTATCATTATGAATAACTCAATTGACATCGTTATAATTATAATAGCCTAATTATACACTGTAAAAATGATTGCTGTGATTAGTTATCACAACTTAAAATTCAACATTAAAATAAGTAAAGCCTTGTTGCAACTTACAAAAAAGTTATGTTTGTGTTTGACTGAAGTTCAGTTAACTTTATCTTAGTTAAGTTGGATATTTAACTCAAGTTGTTATAACTTCCAGCAACACTGGTATGCTTACCTTCATCCACATTACTACATCTTAACATTAAAAAAATTATTTTGCATCAAATGATTTGATCAACGTTATTAGTATAACTTACAAACAATAGTTGTACTAATAACGTTGATAAATCATAAATGCTTTCCCTAAGGATCAAACCCAATAAAGGCGCTACTTCAACTTGAAGTTGCTCATGCTTTTGAAAAAAAATAAAAAAAATAGTAGTAGTAAATGAACACACTGCCATCTAGTGACCAGCATCCCATCTTAGTTGAACTCACTATAGGTTCAAGCTAGAAAATGCATGAACGTGTGGCTGCTCTCTTGCATTGCAGTACATCCAAAACATGAGTAAATGTTTCTCAGGAAAACAATGTGTTCATTTGTTACTAAACTGTGAATGTTTAGGTGAACACTCAAGTCTGATGGGACCCACACATACACATATTTTCAAAAGAGACTATAAAGTGGCAGTACTTTTTATTTGCTATTAATTCAGGAAGCATTCACACTGAAAAACAGAAGTTTAATATTGTGTTCTGAGTGGCCTCCGATGTCCTGTGAGGTCAATGAAACCCTGACAGCTTCAACAGTATACCAACCACTACACCTTCATTTATGCATGAAAAAAAGCCACAAACAACATGCCACAAAAATGAGCCTGTTTCAAGGTTAGTTAAATCATGCCTCCGGTGGAAAAACAGCAGTAATCAGGATGGATTATATCTGAAGCAGGCCCGGGGGTAGCGTGCATCTCTGAGCATATCACCTGAGCTGTGCACTGGCAGCCTCTGACAGCAAGGGTCAGCCTCACCTCCAGAGAACCGCTCAGTGTCACCTTCAGCAAGCACTCAGCCATGTGTCTGATCCAGGATCCAGCTGGCTACCCTGCCTGACCTCCGCTGCCTGATCAGAGCGAGGTTCAGACACCTGAAACAAGTCTCAGGGTCATTTGGAAGGTCAGCGAAAGAGTCCAATGCAGAAAAATGCTACGCCTACATGTCTTAACCTTTGAGTCTCGAATCAAAGCTTAAGAAATAATCTACAATAAAGGCTAAAGTTACATGTCTGAAGTCTGGGTCAAGTTACAAATTACTTGCAGCTAAAAATTACATATTGGATTCTATTATATGTGACACATCTGAAAACAGAATCTAGTACAAATAAGGTAAGTACACACAAAATCAATAATTCAATAAATGTATTCAATATGCTGAGCTGTGAAAGGGTTTAAGCAGTGAAGGCAATGCACGCCAATTTGTTCTCATTTGCACATCTCACCCCATATGAAATGAATTTCAATTTATTTTATGTTGAAGTAAATGCTGCAACTTTATAGTTTTTTTGGACAAGCCCTAAGGCCCCAAAAGCCCCAAGCAAGAGTATCGTTCCCTAAAGTAGTTACCAATCTTATAAGCCTTCTACATGTGCACAACACACAAATAGCTTTATAGCTACTTTTTAGAAGGCATTCAGAGCCCTCTCGCTCTCACATTGCCAGAGGGTTTTTGTCCCTTTGTTAGTTCTATTTAACAGCAACATGTTTTTCTTTAACTGGTGTATACTACACAGCATTGTTGTGAGGCATGTATAACTGAACCAAGATTTTTTTTTTATATATATATATATATATATATATATATATATATATATATTGCAGTTTGATATACATTTACATTATAGTTTAATTTACCTTTTTCAAATTTAAAATTAATTATAATTAAATTTGAACAGATTCAAAAATCAGAAAAGAGATAATAAATAATTTTTGTAGCTTTAAGTATTCATCCATATTTAATTTAGAATTTAGCGTTTGATAACATTATTCAATTTCTGTATATTTCCTACTTGCTGAAAGGCACAGGTAAATAGGACATTTATTATAAAGGGTTTATGAGAAGATTGTTTAAGTTCACTTAAATTAGAAGTTGCTCCCCCGATTTCACAGACAATAACCGGGCCGTTATTTTTTTTTAAAGTCTAATAAATGTTAAAATTGATATCTCTCAATTATACTGTACTGTTGAATGGCTATAGTCAATTGTTAAATATTAGGGAAAAAATTTAAAAAAAAAATTTTATTTGTTTTTTTTCAAGAGACATCAGTGGTATTTGTATCAGTGATACTGGCCCTCAGTCATAAAAAAAAATCCGCCACTAAACAAATATTTAAAATATACTCTATGTTGTTTCTACATAAATTTTAAGCTTGAGTGTGAAATTATTGCAATATACAAGTATATTTAAAAACCTTAATGTTAGGTGGGACTAATCCAGATTAATTTCAGAAAAATACGTGCGATTAATTCGTTTTTTTAATCGATTGACCCATTGGATTTCTGTAAATTGCAATTCAGTGCTGCATTGAGAGTAAAGTTGATTGTAGAGTTAAGTTGATTGATCGTACCATTGGTGGGAAACGCAAGCCAGATCAAATTCTAATATGAAATGGAGCAAACTCATAATTATGCCCAACCCTGCAATTCAGTAAGGATAGATGTAACAACATGACTACAAAAAATCTTCACTTTAAATGCTTCATTCCAAACCCACTGAATCCACCCACATGAAGACTGTGAGGTCTTTTGATACTTTCGAAGTAGAGTCTTAAAAGTCCTCAAAATTGTGTCAGGTTTCTGACTCAAAGATAAGAATAAACTGATCAAACACTTATTCATAATATTTGTATGACAGTTTTGGAAACAACCTGCATTTGAGGGGAAAAAAACCCAATCACCAGATGCTCATTAATTTATGATGACATGCAACAATCAACCTCTTACTCATCAAATACAACTAAGTCCAAATCTTCAGCCAGAAATGTGCCCATTTGTTTTAAATTGAAGGATGACAGTTTTTTTTTCCAGATTTCCACATTATGGCCATAAAATCAAATTGCACAAATGTTTTTTTTTTTTTAGATGACAAAATTACCTACTGTGAATTTAACAAATATAATGTTCACAATAACTGTATCCTTCTAAAGGCAAAAATGTGGATCTGAAGGAGCATGCCTAGTTAATAACTTAGTACTTAATACATAACTACAGAAAACAAACTACAGTTTCTCGTCATACAGCGTTTATTAAAGAGACAAAGGCACTTCAAATTCAGACATTTCTAAAAAAAACATGGATTCTGTCCTATTAAAATAACTGATAAAGTTAGTGAAAACCCACAAAAGCCTAAAAACAGAGTATATAACCCAAATGCAAAGATAGTTAAATCCTAGATTAAGGCCTTTATCTCAAAAAGCTGTAGGTGTCAATGATATTCTTATGAGATCCATTCTTATATATAAAGCCGATCATAACCATGAATTATGTCAAGCAAGAAATTCAGATTTTGTACAATAGGGTCCCACGAGGGAGCGTGTCATGATTTGGATTCTTAACTTTCCAATAGAATTTCTTTTGGCATGTTTGTTAAGAACTGAAACACTTAATGCTTACGATTAAGTTGTTAAATCTGAATGATTTTAAGGACAGACAGGAGGGACTAACTTCAAAGCATGCAACTCCAAACCCAGCAGCTGAAATCAGTCCATGTGAAACACTCAAGAGTCCATCTTCCATAAAACAGCACGCAAAGTCAATTAGTCCGCAAAAGTAGAGATAAAGTGCTTTTGTATTCACTCAGTGCTTGTGCTCAGAAAACCCAATGTCAGTTTTTAAAGCAATACATCAGAGGCTGTTGATGGTCTCAGAGCTTTTTCATCAGGACCCTTTGAGTGAAAGACTACCATCCAAACATATACTCCATTGCTTTCGATACAAAACTGTCATCCTTTTTTGGTGTCTGTTGATCTGAGACAACCTATGAATCAGAACAAAACAAAAAGCAAGCACTTCAAAAATTATGCTTTTAAATTAAATAATACAAATGCATCATTCATTCATCATTCATTCATTCAAATTGTTGTTCCTTACAGCACATTTCAGTTTGATCCACCAACTAGCATTTAAAATAACATTTGTAAACATTTATCTATATTCTATTACGTGTATTGATAAGTTTCTCACTGTTTACATTATGCAAAACAATACAGAAATTATTTTGACAAATATTGCAATTTGAAATATGGGTCAATGTCGTGATGTTTTTGTGTCCATATGGTTTAGCTAAATTTAAAAGGGTTAAAGTTTCAAAATAAATGTGCAAATTAACTGCACACATTCTGTTTTTTGTGGACCAAGTCTAAAATTTCTGGTTTTAATTCATTTTGAGAGAATATTTGGGGGATGATTGCAAAAATGTCAATGTGGTGTAACCGTAAAAACTTTGTACCAAATAATTGATCTTGTTTAAAAAAGGTGACATTCTCAATAAAACACCAGATCAGCTAGTTTGGTAATCTTGCATTAGTACTATTTAATAGTAAATGAAAGTAAATGGAGCACCATTGTTCTGAATATTATAATTAATTTGGTGAATTATGTGAGTCAAGTCAAATTCCTTGAGTGTCAAGGTGGTGTAACCACCATTCAAGGAGACATTTTGTTAATATTTTGCAAGAAGATCATGTGACAGGAAATTACATCACAGAGAAGGACCTCTTGTGATATTAACTGCTGCATGCAAAGGTTAGGAACTCTTTCAAATTTGAGATAATTTGACATTTTTAGGGTATGGTCAGGTATTCTTAGGTATATATGTCAAATGGTATGACCTCAGCAATACATTGATATTTCATCATTATTATAAAAATAAGTATTAACTTTTTGAAATTACATATGAAATATTCCCACCAAGGTCATGTACTTACAAAGGTGTCCATGATGCCTGTCAAATCTGATTTTAAATTGAAATGTCAAGTGGTGTAACTGGACTTCAAATTTTAAAGGGATAGTTCACCCAAGAATGAAAATTACCACCTGATTTACTCACCTTCAAGCCATCCAAGGTGCATATAACTTTCTTTTTTCGGACGAATACAATCAGCGTTATATTAAAAAAATGTCCTGGCTCTTCCAAGCATTATAATGGCAGTGAATGGGTGATATTCAATAGTCCAATAGAAGTCCAATAAACTGCATCCATCCATCATAAAAAAGTGCTCCAGATGGCTCCGGGGGATAATAAAGGCTTCTTGAAGCGAATCAATGCACTTTTGTAAGCTAAACTTCCATATTAAAAACTTTATAAACCGTAATCTCTTGCTTCCGCTAACTGACGTATGCGCATTCGCAAGAGTGGCATTCGAGCGGATGATGTAGGATGTAGGCATTTGAAAGAAGACAGTCATATACACCTAGGATGGTTTAAAGGGGGGATCATGGGGTAATTTTCATTTTTGGGTGAACTATCCCTTTAAGCAATATACAGTATCATATAATATAATGTAATATATACATAAATTATTTAATAATGTAGCAGAAGGAAGTGGGTGTCTACATTTGAACATCAATCCACTGATAAAAAATGTTAACCAAAGATTACAATTTACATCAGCAAAATACAATTCATTAAATTTCTGATATTTTATAATTAATATGATATAACGGAGCCCCTTTTTCCCCAATAGATGCCACAATACAGTACGAAATTACAATAAGAAAATTTAAATTACAATACGAGACATGAGTTCACTGTTCATCACTATGATAATTTCTTGTCGGATATTGTTTCTTACTGTAATTACAATATGAGACACAAGTTCACTGTTCATCACTATGATAATTTCTTGTCGGATATTGTTTCTTAACTCTAATTACAATATGAGACACAAGTTCACTGTTCATCACTATGATAATTTTTTGTCAGATATTGTTTCTTAACTCTAATTACAATATGAGACACGAGTTCACTGTTCATCACTATGATAATTTCTTGTCGGATATTGTTTCTTAACTGTAATTACAATATGAGACACGAGTTCACTGTTCATCACTATGATAATTTCTTGTCGGATATTGTTTCTTAACTGTAATTACAATATGAGACGAGTTCACTGTTCATCACTATGATAATTTCTTGTCGGATATTGTTTCTTAACTCTAATTACAATGAGACACGAGTTCACTGTTCATAACTATGATAATTTCGTGTTGCCAGATTATTTTTAGCATTGGAAAAAAAAAGCACTTCAGCTGAACTTGTTGACAGTCATGCTTGATTTTCAGTGTCAATTTCTTCAACAAACAATGAACTTTGGCTGTAGAAGCAACATGGTCAAGTGGTGTAACTGGTTTGTGTCAATTGGCGTAACCAGTATTTTTCATAAAAATATAATTATATACAGGAAAATGAATGTGGAATAAAATGTAATCATCTAGTTTAGTCTAATAATATGTTTTTTTTTATATTTTTTACAGAATTTGTCAAAGATTATTTACAAAACATGTGTTTTTCGCATATGTCCCGCCATATATTGCAAAAACGCATTACAATTTACATTTAGAGATAACTCTTTGGCGATTACCCCATTTGACATTTTCATGTACATTGTCTTAACTTTCGTAAAAAAAAAAAAAAAATTTGTGCATGTAATTTTTAATTACATAAAATCAACAAACACGCTGTGTACATTTTAAAATACCTAAAGCATGCTTTTAAAACAAGTTTTAAAAGATTTTTTAAATTTCTCATCTTGCCAACCCCTTTTTGTCACTGACCCTTATATAAAACTGCCCAGATATCAAAATGGTAAGAAGAAGAAGAAGGAAAAAAAAGCACAAATATTTCAACTCATGTTTAGTCAGGTTTGGGAAAACTACAAACCAGTAAGAAATGGTTTTGGCTAGGTTCTGCTGTCAAAAGAAAGACTGTTTTTTGCACATTTTTGACATAATAAATATAAATTATTATTAATTTTATTAATATTTATGCCCAAATTAATCTGTAATCCTTACTGATAACCTTTGTAGCTTTATAATATGCTCCTCCACTCTTAAATGGCAAAAAACTGCTCCTCTTTCCACAAAGCCTCAGCATTATCAAATGCATTATTTTTATAATTTTTTATGTATTTATTTATTTTAAAGCTGCCTTTGACAGTTTTATTTCAATTTATTTGTTCAGTACTATTTGTGTGGGTTTTAAGAGCAGTGGGTGTGTGGAAGGTTACTGGTCAACTATACCTGGTAGTCACTGCTGGATGCTTTGTAAGCAGCACTGAGGGGTCTCATGACAGATCGGGGGGTTGATAGAGGGTGACTGGGGGTACTGGGAGCCTTCACCGGGGGTGTGAACACAGAACTGGAAGTAATGCTCTTGTCTGAACTCTCCATTACACTCTGAAAAAATAAATAAATAAACACTCACAATGTAACATTACCACTGTTACAATTACAACCAATAGAATTATCGCTTCTGTGCTTCTTACCTTATCGATACAAGGTTTGACGCCAATCATTATGGCTTCTCCAAATATCTTTCCATCTTTACTGAGAGCTTTTCGTGTCTGCAGTTTAGACTGATACTGAACGTGCATCCAGTTGCCTGAATTAGACATCTGTAAATGAAAGAAACAAACTTTTATAGAATACAATTCATATATAAAAACCTGTCTGCAGTGCTGAAACTTGACTGTACTTACCACATGTTTTAATATATTTCCATACTGTGCAAACTGTAAAAGGATGTACGATGCAGATGCTGGAGGGAATCTGTGTGCAAACAAATATAAAAGTCATGCCATATGTAGACGTGGACACCATAAAGCCTGACACATCATATCTGTGCAAATGGAACAAATAAGTTAATAAATTAATGATCTAAACACACCCAAAAACTGTGACCCAGGTGTCATCTAGCTGGTCTTCTGAGGACAGAGCATCTCCTTGTGTGAAGAATGGATCTACTTGAGCTGGGGAAAGTGTTGTCTTCCTCTGCTGCCCCACAGGGCTAAACAAATTAGATACTATAGGACAAAAAATAGAAACTAAGAATATATTTTTTGATAGAAAACCTCATTTAATAAGACATTTTTTTTGTAAAAAGTGATTTTTACCGGTTCCTGGTGTCCCTGGTAGACCAGACAATGGTGTGTGTACTCCAGCAAATGGCTGTGAAAAAGGACAAAATCTCATTAAAAACATTTTAAATGCTTCTCTTACATTAATTATAACAAAATCAACATCAAATGTATACTTCACTAACCAGCATTGCAAACAAATCACGATTCATCGATAACTCAGGGTGGAATATAACAAAGAGTGAAAAATTTAAGGGGGTCTGAATACTTTCCGTACCCACTGTACATTACATACTCTGGAGTAATAGCTTAGGTTGTTATAGCCCAAGCTGCAAAGCTTTTCCACAATAATAAATACAGATACGCATATGCACAGCTGGTTAATGAACGGTCTGTATAAAAGGTGATTATTTTGTTTGAACTGATTTTGAGGTTGGCATTCGAGAAACTTGGGGCTCTCATGCGAGAACGTCATGTTTGCTGAGAGTGATGAAAGGCTGTAAAGGAAAAGTCGTGGAAAGCCCTTTTAATTGTTAATTAATTCATAATTAATTAACTGCCCTTTCAGGACAGTTCGGACATTGCGGTGAATCAGAGGTAAAAAAACGATATAAATACTGTTCAGTTTCTTGCACAGACCGATCGTTTCATGTCTTTACACATCAATGCATCGTCACGAGCCGCAGGGTTTAATTTGGTTTTGTTTGTGTATGTTTTTTTGACTCTCAAAGCCGTGATTCCCATTCACTTCCATTATATGACTGACAGACTGCAACGGTTTGAGTTAAAAATCTTTGTTTGTGTTCTACTGAAGAAACAAAGTCCCCTACATCTTGGATGCCCTGGGGGTAAGCAGATAAACACCAAATTTTAATTTTTAGGTGAACTATCCCTTTAAATACATTAGCTACTTAATGTATCTCCATGTTCTTCTGTGAACACAGGTCATGTGCTTCAAAATCTTTATTTTTCTCACTTGCTTGCGAGCAGCAAGAGGTGACATTCCCACACAGGAGCCGTTGAGGTCATCATAGATGCTTCTGACTGGAGGGGCTCCACTCTTGTCTTTAGGCGTTGGGACCACCGGCTGTGGAGGAGACCCACCTGATGGAGGAGAGCATCAAATGTCTTACCAAGTAACTTCTGTGCTATGTATAAAATTACATATTAATAATTCCTTATGGTTTTAGCAAAATGCAGTAAAAGAATAATAAGTGTTTACCAGCCAGAAGAGGAGACCTTGTTTCTGCCCCACCTCCTGTCAACCCAAAAGACCTGGGCTGAGGTGTGACAGGAGCAGGCAGGTCTCCCATCAGAAACCCAGGTAAAAACTGAGCCCCAGGCTTGGGGGAGGTTGGAGAGCCGAGTGTCATTGGTTCAATACCTGTTATTAGACATTAAAAAAGGGTCAGTGAGTTATACATTTAATACTTTTTGCGAATTACATTCTAAAACCTACACATATACGGACAATTAGGAACAACTGCAATTTCAAAGTTTTTTTTTATTTTACTCTCAATATAAAATACCCGCATATACTGATAATGTATAAGTTGTTATGAAGCCAATTAAACGCATGTCTTTCTGCTGTAATGTACCGGTCACATTAGCACAGCCACATGTACGCATGTCTCTACAAACTCATCCAAACACAGGACTGGTGTAACACGACAACTTACTCTGGATGTCCATACCGGGTCACTATCACAGCAGCCACGGAGAGAAGATCAGTCCTACTTTACCAAATAAAAAAAGAGTGCAAACTTTTTTTGAACCAGACGGAAGTTGCGCGTGCTGTAACACGAGCGCACTGCACTTCCGCTTTCACGAGACCAGCTCGCGCCTGTCGCGCCCCTGCAGGAAAGGACATGAAACTGATTTTTAGTTTTGGAACCAAATTCGGGCTTTTACTTTCTCTCACCTCGATTACTGTAATCGCCTTTATACTGTTTTTAGTAAGAAGCAGGGATATTTTTTCAGGGGGCCCCGAATCCTCTAGCTACGGCCCTGGTAAGAAGTGTATTGATAAACTACTAAAAGTGTCAAATGCTGCAACTGGATTGTTTTAGTTATGTTTTAGTGGTTTTCAAGCACTGAATGACAGAACACCGTCATACATTTCAGAGTACTGCCAAATACGTTCTAAACTGGCGTTTCGCATTTTTTAAAAGCAACCTGAAGACATGTTATCTTAAGATTAATACATTAAAACTCTATATTTAGTAACTGTATTCATTTTTTCACTAATATTCTCTTGTTTTTATGCTTGCATTTTATGCTGTGATGTAACCATAGACTGTATAAAAACAGGTTGCAACTTGTAACAGACCTGTGAAATGCCAAGTAGCCCCTCACTGCAGAAATGCTGTATTGCTGTATTCACATTTTTCAGGTTAACGGTTCTTACACTAATTCACCTGAAGATGGCACTGTTGTTCCACTGGGTGGCTTCATTCCCCTCCAGGACCTCCCAGAGTAAAGGGACACTGAAATCGTCCTCCTCTTGTTGGAGCAAGGAGCATTCATCTCCAAAATTAAGAAAACATTATGTTTATGTTTTTATACCATTATTTGTCCTACGTTTGTCTGAGTACAAGGTTTTATTTTTTCATTTTTGCACCCTGTTTTTTCCCAATTCTCAAGAATGACTGATATATATATATTTCGATAGATTTTTTTTTATGTTGATATAATTTTTCTGAGGTAGGCCTAATAAATTCTTGATAGTAGCCTATATTTTAGCGACTATGAAAATTTGCTTGCTTAAAAATGCTTAAGAAAATCAATTCTGGTAGTCAGTTAATTTCTGACTTCGCCTGCAGCTTATTAGTTGCATTACAAAATAAATTCAATTTAATATGCTTTAGATGATTAATTTGCTTTAGATTTATTTATTTTTTTAATAATCATTATCCTGTTTTTCACTAAAGACGGAGAGCTGCTGGATTCTGATCAGTGCACATGACTGGACTATATCCCATATACTATATCCTAAGTGTGCGTGGTACAAAATAAAAAGGTTTTGAGAGCAATGCTAAGTATTTATTAGTGCTCAGTGATTTATATCAACAGTAACTATGTCTCTCCAGAACAGAGAGACAGAGGGAGCAATAGTTTTCTGTAAAATGATTGAGCTCATATCCCCTGGAGCAAGACTGAATATATGATGCCACTCATCTGCATCCAAATAAAGATAGAAATGCCAGCTCCGTCTAAACCCATTAAGCAAACTGCCATATTTGAAAGATGTATTTGTCTCTTTATTTTGATTTATTTAAACAAACTGACACCCAGAGGGCTCCTTTCCTTTATAAATCCCAAGATGTTGGGTGATGTTTTTAGAATAGCATTATATTTGCAGAGTCGAACACATGCATTTTCTGAAGCCCATTTAAAGGTTAACTCATGTAATAACGCATTTATGTTGCTGTGGAACTTCATTTTGCTCAAATCATTTATTTCACATCTGTTCAGTGACTTTCATTTATTTTCACAAGGTATGTCATCTTCAGTAGTTCTGAATTGCGTGCCACACTGATTCTTCCCTGGGTAAGAGTTTATTATCAAGGAGCGAGATAAAGCTGAAGTGTAGATTAAGCTGTCTGATAATAAGAATGCAAACAGCTTGCTCTCTGTGACTTGTACCAGCCAGTGGCAGCCTTGCTTTTATTACTCTGCCATATTCCATGTCATTCTCTTGGACTGTCACACAATAATGAGCACTTTTTGACCTCGGTAAACTGTGAAACTGGCTGCTTACTGTGTATTACGTCTTCACTGAGCTGAAAAAGAGTGAAGAACTCAAAATGACTTATAAAATGAAGGTTATGCTTGTGGAATATGACGAGCTGCTTTAGACGACTAAAAATATCAGCAAATACAGACAATATTCCCTGTATTGTTAAAGACAAGGTGAACAGTTTTCTCAGTATAAATAAGAGTTTTTACTGTGGGACTTTAAGTGATCTGTTCATTTAAGACTTGCAATATTGACAACAGCGTCCTCTGTATGCTCCTTAAGTCATCCATGTCCAGTGATATGTCAAGGTCAGATGGTTGATCCCCATAAAATCAGCAGAGTGAAATATAGCACCAAATGTGCTGAATGTCTGCTGATGGGGAGATATTTGGGACTCCTGCAGGAAGAATCCTGTGAGGGTTTTCGGTTGGCATGTGCAAACAACTGAAAAAGTGAATGTGCTTTTGTGTGATAAATGGTTATCTTTTCTAATGCTATGTGCACTAAGAAGAGTGTAGTTTCCTCTGCATACCCTGTTTTGTTTTAAATGTTTCATGACAATAAAACACGTTTAACTTGGCATTAGCATCTGTTAAGCAGATTTTAAACTTAAAGCAACTTGTTTCATACTTTAAAAGGGGTTTGGCAATGGGTTAAACTTAAATCACAGTGCCAAGCTACAAACAGTGACACCAACATTTTTTTTTTTTCAAATTCACATTTGAAAAAAGTCTTTGTTTATGAGTTATGAACCATGAATGAACTAAAACTGACCAGATATGAGGTCCTTACAAAAAAAAGTCACACACACACACATATATATATTCTATATATATATATATTATTGCAAAACCTAGTAATTTGAAAGTGCAGTAAGACTGATTTGATTATGACATTTGCAGTGCTCCATGGGAGTGAAGCGGTTAAAAATTCGGTTTTAAAAACTGTAGCTCTACATTTTTATAATGTCATGCACAAGACACTGCAAAAATGTGAGTACAATAGTCAAATATGTCTGTCTAGCACTTTCACATAGAAAAACAAAGGAAAAGCAGCGCAGTGGAATACAAAAGTGCATTCTATGTGAACAGCCCCTAAAATGGTTAGGGTTTTTTTAGCAACAAATAAACTGAACAGCACTTTCCTCATTAAGTATTCATATGCTTTGAACAGTCACATAAAATTTCACCTGTTTTTTGTTTCAGTTTAAGCAAAAAATCTAAATCAGACAATGAAGGAAAGATGTGTCAGTTGGCATGAAGAGGAGACCGTTTTATTCTTACAGTGATGTTTGAAAAGCACATTCATGACCAACTCAGGAATATACTGTATAGCCTAAGCACATTATGAGCAAAAGTGAGACAAGTAGGTATTTAAACAAGTTGCATGCTGTGTTCACCCAATCAATCTCTTAAACTGTTAACCTAAAAGACTACAAAACATGACCCAGGATTATGCTGACCCAGAGTTTAAAATGGCCCAGGGTTAATCATTTAAAGGGACACTTCTCACACAAATAAAAATCCTGATAGAAAAAATAAACAACTTTTTGCGTGTGTCTGTGTTTCCCAAAATAAAGTCTTACAGTTATGAAACAGCATGAGGGTTAGTTGCGTAAATGATAGAATTATAATTTTTGGGTGAATGATTCCTTTAATTGTCAAAAGCCCTATAAGGTATTGAACCCAGAATTCAAAATCAAACTCTTTTCATTTTCCTGAGGAAAGATGATTACTCACAATTTAGTGCTGCACAACATTTCATTATGCTGGACCCAGCTGCTGTGATAGGCACTTTGTAATTATGTGGGTGTAGGAGGCTCGTGATGAAGGGACACCCAGGGTCATCCTTCTGGTTGAAGCATTTAAACATGTATTATTCAGCAGCCTGGCACAGAACATTTCCAGGACCCTGTCAGAGCTGAGCTTCACAGCTTTACCTTTCACAAGCCCCTCATATACTGCAGGAAAAAAAATGCATTTAACATTGAGAGGAGACAAATATTGATCGCTGCTCAATACATGGTAGGTTAAATATACAGACATCGTTCGACATTCCGAATGGTCAGTAATAGCTTGCGTCTGATGCAGTAAGGATATAATGACTGTTTGCATTTCTTATGTGAAGTCTGAAACTGTGCATTGGACTGTGGTGGAGATATGAAAAATACTTCACAGTTATTTCCACTGACAAGCTTTTTCAATTCTTTGAAATTAAGTATTTAAGAGGGAGCTTCAAGCCGGAGAAAGTTTTAAAATGTCTTTAAAAAAAAAAGTAATACAAAAAAGATAGCTTCTAATATCATGTGTTCGATGAAGGGTTTAAATGTTTAAACAGCCAGACAAAATAAATAATCAATATGATTTTCACCTGGTGAACGATGCGATCTCTCAGACTTACATTTACCACATCTACCCTTATAAAAAAGATGTTTATTCATTAGTATACTTCTTTTAAATGAAAAATAAGTATAATTTCAATCTACATTTTATACACAAAATTATTCTTACGTATACTTGTTCTCCAATTTATAAAATTATATATATAAATAGTTAACTGTGAATAAAATGGAAGCCTGTTTCTGCCATAGAATAAAACAATAAAAAAAGATAATTGTGACTTTTTATCTCAGAATTGGAAATTTACCTCTCAATTTTGAGTTTTGAATTTTGAGTTTATGAAAAAAAGCGAAGGGAAAAAAGTCAGAATTGTTAGTTATAAACTAAGAATTGTGAGGAAAAGTATTTTTTTAACTTTTTTTATATTGTGTCAGAAACAAGCTTCCATGGGAAACTTACAGTTATACTTGCAGTATAAAAATTATATTTATGCTTATTTTCATGAATTAAAAAGGCAGCTAGGAGTATATTACTAGCAAGTATACATAAAGTTGGCTTGTAGTATAGTTGCGATACTCGAGAAACACTTAGATGCAAGCTACTTGTGTACTTATAATTTTCGACTGTTACACTTAAAAATATACTTTTATAAACTAAAAATTTGGGCCAAGAGGTAAGAGGTATTTAAATAGTACACATACTAGTACATTGATATTAATTTACTTACTACATAAAATTATACTGTACTTGGAAAATATAATAGAAT